CGATCGTATGTGTTTAGGAATCGCTGTTCAGCTTTTGCGATATTTTTACGAGGTTTCGAGATTTGCCCACGCTCGTTCGAGAACCAACGCGGCAGCAGCATATCGAGAATGTGGCGATCGGCCTGCGGCTACGAATTCCGTTACACGCACTTGTACGGCTCCATGGATCTCCCTACACTCTGCCCACGATGAAATTTTTATGCTCCATCTGCCTCCGTGATTTTCGAAGCTGATTTAAATCCATCGTCAGATCTCTATCGATGCACGAAGCGAGATTATCAAATACGCGTTTTATTTGACGCAACGTAAAGAGAAATATTATAATATTAGATCATCGGATGACACATGACGCAAGGCGTAAAATATCGTCGACGATTGCGAATGCAAGATCAATGCGCAAGTAATTCATAAAAATAAACCAACTCACGTTTCCGACAAGTAAACTAATTTTATAGCTGCAATGTGACGTAGGAAATTGTCGCCGATGCGCTCAATTAATTTCGAGCGGTTGCGTGGAACTTTATGCGGGGATATTCATTTAACGAACGTCATCGGTTTTAATGAAACTTGTACTGTTATCTCAGCATGTACAGTAGTACATTTTGCTCGATCGTTATAATTTGTTCAGTATTATTATTAAAATTTTAATACCAATGTTAATTCTTCTCTTTTCTCGTACAAAAGAGATGAAAAACGTACACGATTGTGAAACACTTACCTTTGACGATCGTTGGAGGAATCTTCGCGATCAGCTGATTGCTCGACAGTGACCCCGAGGGTCAATCTACTTTCTACTTCTCACATTCTGCCGAGATCAGAGGTGATACAGACGACGGGAGGCTGTGCACGATGTTCCTTCGAGTGGAAGCGGACATACTTTCACGACGACGGATGGTATACATATCGTTAAATTATCGGGATGCTGATGAGTGAAAACGGATGGAGGCGGCGCGCGTTGTTCTGTCTGCGGAAGAAAAATAAGGAAAGAGATTTATTAGCCAGGACTAACTCGGAGAGTCTCCTCGGAAGAATGTTTATGACAACCGCGGAGAATCGCATCGAATAAAAACGTTGGCGACGCGTGAGAAATTTATCTTTCTAATTTACCGGTTTGCGATACCTGACATGCGAGATAAAAGCAAGCAATAAAAGCATATTCGATTAAAAAGTCTTTAGAGATTTTTTTCGATAATTTAAAACTTTAATAGCGATTAAATTATTTACAAGAGAAAGAGAGGAAGAGAGAGCATAACCGTCGCTAATATATTTATAATCTTCGAAATATCTGGCGCAGAATATGATGGCACGAGTGATGGTCAGCCGCGGCGAAACAAAATGTCAAGCATAACAGAATACAGCTTACAGTTAGCGCATCTCGCTGAGTATACAAAATACTTCGCTTCGCGTGAAGTATAATTTATAGTGACACGTGTCCTGCTTGTTTATAATTCGTTCCGCTACTATCTATGCGTAATGGCGCGATTAGTAAAACGGGCAGGTACGACAAGAAACACGAAAGTTCCGTATTAAGTTGGTCACGCGACCAGCGCCGGTATGCAGTCGAGATCGCTTAACGATCGTCCGCGATCCTCGATTGCTATGTGACACGATTTGTCTGACGTCTAATGTCCGTTGATAAATGATCTCGAGGGTAAATGGATATAACTAGAAATTACAACATGTCTAACAAACCACGAGAAGAAACTGGAAATCTTTTCATAGCAAAGCGTTTTTACGCTTGTCGCGACGACAGACGACTATATCGGACGTTTTATTAGTTTTCTATGCATCGATGAAAAAACTAAAAGTAACTCCTCGTGAGATATATAAGCTTAAGCAGGTTTCGTACCTATAAAAGAAACTTGTCTCCCGATTACGCCACAGAATTATCTACAATGATTTGACCTGTTTTCAGGGAGTGGCGGGCATTCCAGCGGAACATAAAGATCAGCGAGCTTGCGCCATGAATTAAGATCGATTCGGAAAATGGACGTCGCCAAGGGCACAACGGAGGACTTTGTGACGGTGGTCAGCGTCGGCAGTCAGCCGGCGTCAGAGAATTTCGTGACCGTTCTGTCGATCGGCAACGGGAAAAAGAGCGATGCCGGAGAGTCGTCCGTGTCGAGTAAAAATGGAGCGACGAACGGGATGGACGTACATCTCGAGGAGGAGGTCGAGGTTTTCAGACTGCCCGGAGAACGGCTCGGCTTCGGACTCAAATTCGAGGGAGGAAATAAGACGTCCGAGAGAGTCAGGAGATTGTTCGTGCAGAGCTGCGCGGAGCAAAGTCCGGCCAGCAGAGCGAAGTGTTCGTGGGGCACTCTAGGCGAGGGAGACGAGGTAATGATGATATACACCGAGAAAAATATTAGATATTTTTTTTTTTTTTCAGCGAGCTTGCGCCATGAATTAAGATCGATTCGGAAAATGGACGTCGCCAAGGGCACAACGGAGGACTTTGTGACGGTGGTCAGCGTCGGCAGTCAGCCGGCGTCAGAGAATTTCGTGACCGTTCTGTCGATCGGCAACGGGAAAAAGAGCGATGCCGGAGAGTCGTCCGTGTCGAGTAAAAATGGAGCGACGAACGGGATGGACGTACATCTCGAGGAGGAGGTCGAGGTTTTCAGACTGCCCGGAGAACGGCTCGGCTTCGGACTCAAATTCGAGGGAGGAAATAAGACGTCCGAGAGAGTCAGGAGATTGTTCGTGCAGAGCTGCGCGGAGCAAAGTCCGGCCAGCAGAGCGAAGTGTTCGTGGGGCACTCTAGGCGAGGGAGACGAGGTAATGATGATATACACAGAAAAATATTTAACATTTTTTTTTTTTTTTTTTTTTACTTTCGATCTTTCTATATTTATTCCGCCGAGAAAAGGATGTTGGATACGCGCGAGCAAAGCTTTGCTTTCTTGATCTTATTTCTCTCGCGTTAACGAGAGGCTAATAACATCGGCCGCTTTCGCTGAAATGATATTTCGTGCCGTAACACGCGTATATAACGAATTCAAGAAAGTAGCATTCATGAACATGTATGATTCCATTCAATCTTAACGGTACGTGAAATCTATCGCGTCATTACGTGTCGCTTTCAATTACGGAACCGACAAGTTCCCTCTGCAATGGGATAAGGATCACAATGACTAGTCGCTAGATTCCTCCTGGTATTTCAATGAATCGGTGCAATGACTGACGTGCAATTATTCGCACGCATCGGGCCGCGACGCGCCTGCACCTGTGGCGTAATGTCAGCTTGAATGGAGGAGGAAAGGAGAGAAAAGGGGAAAAGGTCTTTCTCGCGTACTCGAATTTAATTTAAAATTAAGGTCACAAATTGTGGGAATAGTATTTATTATGTGTCAAGCGTGTGTATTTGTATTTTGTGGAACAGCCGCTGAAACAAGATATTGTAAATGCACTCTTCCTCCGGCTCCCACGGTGCACTCCGTCATCTATGTGATTTTCAAGACCTACTTCCTACATAATAACTCTCGAGACTGGCTTTCCTCTCGCCCCCGTTGCTTGTTTACATTGCAAATTATTTGCGGGCAATAATAAGACTCGTCTACTTCGTATAGGCTAGAAAATCACGTTACATATCTCTCGCAGGTACTTTCGATCGACAGTATACCGGTGACACACATGACCCGATTGGATTGCGTGAGGAGATTGAAGGAATCACAATTAGTCATCAGGCTGATGGTGAGATGCCGCGGTGCTCTCAGACCCGAAGTAGTGAGCGCCGAGAGAAAAATCGAGAAGAACAAAGTGCCGCCGGAATTACCCGCGGCTCCCCCGCCGGTACCACCGCGGAAACTGAGGCAGCCACGAGGACCCGCAGACGGCGAAGCGAATCCTAGTCCTGTCAAGAAATTGTGGGACAGCCCGAAATCGCCGGCTTCGCAGGCGAACGTAAGCTCTTACGAGAGCTGCGAATCCTCGCCGAGAAGCGTCAACGGTTTATCGCATCCAGAGAGCACGAAGGAATCACCGAAGAACCGCTCGCCGGAGTTTACGAAATCGAAGCAGGTTGTAATCGCGAAAAAAAAAAATAATTCAAAAAATTCAAAAGAAAAAGAAAACTGCGTTGAATAAAAATTAAATAATAGATGTAAGAAGATTCCTTCTTCCTCTGACTAAAAAGAGATCTCTGTGTTTCTAGGAACCGCCGGAAGCGATGGTTTATCTGGACGCGCGATCACAATGCGGCTCCACGCACGGCAGCACGTCCGACGACACCGGCAGCTCCATGTCCACCGTCATGGACAGATTCTCGACCATATCCGATCGCGTGTCGACCATATCCACGGCGTCCACGGCGTCGACCACCGGCTCCGAACAGCCGAGCGAATTCGCGAGCGTTGATCGAGACCTCGAGCGATCCTCGTCCGATCGAGACGTGCTGTTGTCGCGAGCAATCTGTCCGCTTGAGATGCTCGAGAGGGACTTCTCGAATCCGCCCGATTATCTATTACGTCGTCTCGCCAGTTCCGAGGCGGTGACGCACGTGGAGTCGCGGGGCGAGGTCGAGCGTATCACGGCGGTAGTCGCGCCGAACACGGTGCTGATCGAGGAAACCATCACTCTTCAACCGCCGCTCAGTTTTCAGGACGCCCCGTTGAGTTACGGACACGAGGCTAGGCCGGATCTCTTCTACACGGCCGACCTGGCCGCCGACTCGACGACGCATTTCAGGCCAATTAAGGATGACGTGGAACTCGTGGAGCGCGTCAACGGCAGCGTCCACGAGGAGGTGCGCGTTTCCGGCACGGAAAGAAGCAATGACGTCAGGTCATCACCGCCGCCGTTGCCGGCTAGAAATCACGTTAACAGGATCTGCGTGAATCAAACGAGCGAATCTGAAAACGATGCGCGAATCTCAGGAACGGTGCCCGTCTCACCCGAGAGGGAACCTTCGGAAGCTCCTCTGTTACCGCCGAAGCCGCTGCCGAGAAAAGATGTTAAAGCGAGACGGAAAAGACCACCTCCGCCGCCTCCACCACCAATTATAGCGCCACGAAGAGAGATCAAATCTTCGCCATCAATCGAATCGAATAATCTAACGGAGAAGGAAGATATTTCGCAAGAAAGCGCAGAATGTGTTCAACCAGGATCATGCGACTCGTCGTTAAACAGAAGCAACATTCCCCACGAATTTTCGATCGAAAGATTCGAAAATTTAGATGAAAACAGCGAACCTAACGCGAAGAACGTTAGTCTCGACGATGAGAAAGATAAAGCTGCAAGTTTGAGGGAAGACACACAAACGAACAAAGTATTTGAAATTATCGAAATTAGGATGGCTAAAGGTTTGCAGCTCAATCAGGAGGAAGTCGCAAGGAATGAGCTAAACAACGCATCGGAAACGACGAATTGCGAACAGAATGGAATTAAAGTAACAGATAGAAAAAAACAGGATCAATCGCAATCTATGAATAATTCGAATGGAATTTCGATGGAACTAAATTCGAGTTCAGGACCGACCGATGAACGCGTTGACGAATCAAATAACGAAGAGGAAAAGCATCTTGACCCGGAAGATCTTTACGTCCGAGAAGAAACTCGGACGAATGACGGGGATACTTTCAATGAAGCATTTCCGTTACACGCAGAGGATACTTTATCGGTCGATAATTCTACGCTGCGAGAAAGCGAGGATGACGAAACGTATCGATCATTGGATGAGATAAATGATGATATGAAAAATCCGGATGTGAATCGCATGCTAGAGGAAGAAGGAGACACAACTGACGAAAGCGATGACGGCGATTATTACTGGCAGAGCAATCTCGCCACTATCGGCGAAGAGGAGGAGACTTCCTTGGAATATGTGAATGCGTAAGTTTAGAATTATATATTCTAGTTTCTCAATAGAGATTATTACTCGATAGATTACACAGTTTAACAAAAAATAAGTTTTTTTTTTTAGCACAAAAAAAGGATGATCATTTCCTATAAATTTTTTCATCGCAATTTTCAAAAATTTGGTTGGAAAAGTTTTGTTGCCAGCGCAAAAGTAATTAAGTATATTATTAAGATACTTTTAACTCGCAAAAGGAATTTAATTATAATTAATAAGATATTCTTAATTAAATGAGAAAATTGCGAATTAGGCAATTAAAAAAATCTATCAATTTTGTTAAACTATATTATACGAATAAAAGAGAATCGTAATATAATAGTAGGAAATTCGGGATTTAGGTTTCCACTTTCGCCGCACATTGCATCTGAAACTTTCCTTGATATTAATATGCAATACGAATAGCGATTACAGTTGCGTACAGAGCTAATCAGAATAATTCCGCTTATTTGCTTGAGCAAAGTATGCGAGATGAATCGCTGGGAATTGTGTCGAGACATATATGACTGCAGAGCCCGTTGTGATGCAGTGCCGCGCGCGAATAAATCTTAAAAAGAAATTAATTCACTTTCCTCCCATGGGTTTACCCGGATTTACCTGCCGCGCGCGGCATGTGGAGAAAAGGTTAATTGACCGTTCTAAGAATAGGAAAGAGGGCTGTCGATTACTGGGAATCGAACCGAGTCGTTTGACTCGGCCGTCCCACGGAGGTGAACGCCTCCATGCAAATGCTCGACATTTGCTTATTGCTTCGAACAGCAATCTCTCCTTCTTTGCATGACGTTGCAATCGCCTCTTTTAAACTTATCTGAATGGCGATTGCCGCTTATTAAAGCTCTCAATAGGTCCCTCCGACGTTAAAACGTAACGGGTTATATCATTAATAATTTGTTATAGCGTTTAGAATTTTTTTATCTTTTTATATCACGGTTACACACAAATGCCGCGCAAAACGTAATAAGAAATTAAATACAAAGAGCCATTTCTGAGTTGCCTGAAAGAGATATTTTTTCTGGCCTGTTGCAGCAACGCAGACACGAACGATTCCAGCAAGCTGACGGCAGAGCCGGAAGAATCCGCAATCAAGAAAGATGCGTTCGTTAAAAACGGTAAGTTTGTTCTCCCATATATTAATTAAGCTTTTAATTAACCCTCAAAATACGATTTGAGTCAATAAAACGCAATTTATCCAATTAAACGCAAGAATGCGAGGCCAGCGCGGAACGATTAGAGATCCGCTCGTTAATAGCAAAAGCAACAAATCGGGCATTTGTGTCCATTGAGGCTGACTGCGTAAAAAAGGAGCACTGTCGCCAATTGGGGCAACCTTGAGCCGATTAATTAATCGATCTCGTTTTCGATCGTCATCGTCGATCTCTTATCGAAACGTCCTTCGACTGGAACTTCGACTTTCACTATCATTAATGAGAACACGAGAGCAGGAAATCCTGAAAGACAGTCGGGTGCGAGACACCGGCCGCGAGGACACCCGGTATACGCGCCCACGCTACCGTAGCACGCCGCCGTCGAGCTTTATAAAGGTTACGCATTAATCACCTTGCGTTACGCGCCGGTATACGGTTCTCGGGTTTCGCGCGGGCGCAAATGCATTGAAAACGGAGGCAGGCCGCGAATCGAAGCAAAGGCGCGCCTTCCTCTCGCCGGGAGAGATTCTTATTCACCAACGTGCATTCCGATATTTTTTTCACGCGAATGACTAGACGTGTACGCGCGATTTCTTCTCCGCGATATACAAAACGCACGGAGTCTTCTATTCGAGACGCCTTTCGGATGCTTGTTCTGTGCTAGAGAGACTTTGTTATCCGTCATGGACATTCCGATAACATTGGCGATAGTATTTAATAAATATTTTAGCTATTTTTTTGCAGCAAAAAATGCGAAACAATCTAATTTTTATTAAATAATTCTATTATCTAATTATATATAATATAGATAAAAAGTAAAAAGAAAATTAAATTAAATTTAGCTAATTTTGGCTTTATTTTTATTAATAATTTGAAAAGAAACAGCCGTAGATATTTTTATCATCAATCTCAGCATTCAAAATATTTTCAGAAAACATTCTCATATCGTGTCGCCAAAGTTATCGAAATCTCCTTTCAAGTTCCTTATAATTTATTTCTACATATACCACTTGGAGAAATCTCTCTCTACGCGATTTCCCGTATACATAGAAGTGCTTATCTTCAATGAGATATTTGCGTAATATCTACTCTTCACGAGAACCATTTAGAGAGATACGTTGTTATCCCGCGCTATCATCTCGTCTCACTACAAACTACATATAAGGGAAAAATAAGTATTCATTTTGTCAATGTAGATCGATGATCGATCGATCGAAAATGGTAATCCTGTAGTGTAGAAGTACCGGAAATCGTGTGGCGGGTGTGCGCGCGATAGCAATAATTCGCACTGTACGCACGGTGAAGTATATATTATCAAAAGCAATGATAAGGCACATACACATCAGTCGCAATAAATATATACAGCCTCCCTCCCCTGCACTCTCCACGCATCCTTTTTCAAGATAGTAGATGCATATATCCTAGAGTACTAGAGAAAAACCCGAAGAGAAAGAAGTTTACTATAATGAAGGGAATTATGCGAGAATGTGGACAATAAAAATGTTCGTACAATAATTAATTTGCCCGGTACTTTTTTTAGATACGTATCGCTCACGCACATTTTGCAACATCAGAAGCGACTTGGTATAATTTTCTAACAACGAGCTTTTGCTTCCCGCACAATGTCGACATCGCCTTATGCGGGATCTCTTTCTCCCTTCTCTTTTCTGTTTTCTTTTTTTTTTTTGCAACGCGAATGGCGCGATTCATGAAGCGAAACGCATATGATAAAGAGTGGATCTTCAACGGACGAGACTTTACCGTAGCCGGACGCTTTGCGTTAAGCGGAAAATAAGGAAATTCCGCGATCGGCGCTCCTCCGCTCGAACGGGATGGATTCCCGGCCGCCAGGTGGGTGTGAGAACAAAACCGTTAAGAGAATAATTCGAGAATCGCCTAGCAAGCAAAGCGAGCTCTCTACGCTCGTATCGCCGATGAAGCTGCGGTGTGTGTATTCTCGAGCGCGAGGTTCGTATTAAACGCGAAAATTTATGGTCAGGCGCCAGCCGCGACCGATCATCTTTTCCAACAAGCACCGTCGTTTCTCAATTCCATTAAATACGGAATCGTAAAAATTCTCATACGGTATTCATTATAATTCGCTCGAACTTAAGTACGCGAAAATACATCGGTTCGAGTTTCTTTAATCTTAATTATAACGTTTTAAGCAAAATCAGCTGTTAAAGTTATGAAATTAATTTCCCATATTTTAAACTCGAGTTTCTCGATTATATTATATTCGGGTTATTATCATATTTGAATTATCTCGAAAATATACCGACGACAATAAAAATGTTTTAATGTGATATTTTATTTAAACCGTAGCGTTGCACGCAATGTGTCATTGTATCCTCGATATTGAATAGTTAAATGACAACACGTCGACAATTCCCAAGTTCTCCTAAGTTAATTATCGTATACATATACCCAACATTGTTCCGTGACATTTCGTGACAATCGATCGAGCGTCGCACACACCCGTTATAAGAGATGGACACGGCTGATCTCGTGGGTCCGGCAAAGCTTACCAGTCACAACAATATGGCGGTTGCCCAGCGGTCCCAAGTCCCAAGCCGCAGCCACCGAGTCGTCGAAGCTCTTCCCAGTGGCTGACCGCGCTCAAGGTCCCATTCCCCCTTAATCGCCTTCCTTTTCTCGATCTTTCACTTGGTTCACTTCCAATCGAAGAGACGGCGATCTCTGACGCACATACTTGCGTACTGACGTACGTCTGTACGCGCGATCGCAGAAGACGGCATTCCACAACCATCGGGCCCTTTGTACGTGCCCGTAGTATACTGATCTAAAGATAACAAACGTGTCGTCGAAACTCGTACAAATCTAACTGCCACATCGACTTCGATTGTTCTCACCGAGAGAGAGAGATAGTTCTTTCGATTTTTTTCAAAGCCGAAGTTTCGCCTTGATCGATATACACGTTGTTATTTTATGTCAATATTCCTTGAGAACGATCTTTGAAGATGAGGAGATAAATATGTTTATTTATTTGAATATAAATAATTGTTCCAACAATCATTAGTAAACCAATAGATCGATTTTACGTCGCCTCGAGCAACGAAGAATGAAAAATGGGGATCGTTAGTGTAACATGCCACTGTCCGATCGCTCGTTTTAGATCTTTATCGCAGCAGGTTCGGACGATTCGCTTGTCTACATTACGCAATTATGCGACCTAAAAATATACAAACGGAAAATACATTCCGTAATTTCAGCCGAACCGTCCATTAACGACCTAAGCTCTTAAGAGGATCGACCTTTCCCAGGCAATCTGACGCCCGTTTCAATTTGCGATTGCAAAGGGCGATGATTAGTCTTGACCTCCCGAGGGAAGCTTTCGATCTCGAAGTAATTAGTGGACATTGATACTTACGAAGTGCTTTCTGTTAAATCGTTGATGTGCATAAATTTGCCAGACAGCCACCATTTTACATCTACCATCGCGATAAAATAGCCTTAAGATTATTTGACGTCAATTTTAATCTACGATCGTAGCGGATCGCAATCTCGGATTACATAGAAAATGGGGTTATTATCATATTTGAATTATCTCGAAAATATACCGACGACAATAAAAATGTTTTAATGTGATATTTTATTTAAACCGTAGCGTTGCACGCAATGTGTCATTGTATCCTCGATATTGAATAGTTAAATGACAACACGTCGACAATTCCCAAGTTCTCCTAAGTTAATTATCGTATACATATACCCAACATTGTTCCGTGACATTTCGTGACAATCGATCGAGCGTCGCACACACCCGTTATAAGAGATGGACACGGCTGATCTCGTGGGTCCGGCAAAGCTTACCAGTCACAACAATATGGCGGTTGCCCAGCGGTCCCAAGTCCCAAGCCGCAGCCACCGAGTCGTCGAAGCTCTTCCCAGTGGCTGACCGCGCTCAAGGTCCCATTCCCCCTTAATCGCCTTCCTTTTCTCGATCTTTCACTTGGTTCACTTCCAATCGAAGAGACGGCGATCTCTGACGCACATACTTGCGTACTGACGTACGTCTGTACGCGCGATCGCAGAAGACGGCATTCCACAACCATCGGGCCCTTTGTACGTGCCCGTAGTATACTGATCTAAAGATAACAAACGTGTCGTCGAAACTCGTACAAATCTAACTGCCACATCGACTTCGATTGTTCTCACCGAGAGAGAGAGATAGTTCTTTCGATTTTTTTCAAAGCCGAAGTTTCGCCTTGATCGATATACACGTTGTTATTTTATGTCAATATTCCTTGAGAACGATCTTTGAAGATGAGGAGATAAATATGTTTATTTATTTGAATATAAATAATTGTTCCAACAATCATTAGTAAACCAATAGATCGATTTTACGTCGCCTCGAGCAACGAAGAATGAAAAATGGGGATCGTTAGTGTAACATGCCACTGTCCGATCGCTCGTTTTAGATCTTTATCGCAGCAGGTTCGGACGATTCGCTTGTCTACATTACGCAATTATGCGACCTAAAAATATACAAACGGAAAATACATTCCGTAATTTCAGCCGAACCGTCCATTAACGACCTAAGCTCTTAAGAGGATCGACCTTTCCCAGGCAATCTGACGCCCGTTTCAATTTGCGATTGCAAAGGGCGATGATTAGTCTTGACCTCCCGAGGGAAGCTTTCGATCTCGAAGTAATTAGTGGACATTGATACTTACGAAGTGCTTTCTGTTAAATCGTTGATGTGCATAAATTTGCCAGACAGCCACCATTTTACATCTACCATCGCGATAAAATAGCCTTAAGATTATTTGACGTCAATTTTAATCTACGATCGTAGCGGATCGCAATCTCGGATTACATAGAAAATAATGCGCCATTCAGAACTCAACGGAACATTCGCGAGAATATGCATGCTATATATATACAAAACCCACGATCAGAGATTATTCGCACAGAGAATAACGGATCGGAATAAGATATTTTCT